GTTTTACTGTATTTTGATAACTTTCACAGTGAAATTATCAAATATAATTTTCACGGATAAATCGGTATTTTACTGAAAAGCACAAAATAACTTACAATTATAAACAATATGTTTTTATAATGTTGACAAGAGATTTTTGATAATGAAAAACAAAGTGTAACATTATTTTACCGGCTATTCATAATATGAATTGTATTTTGAAAATGATATAGCTTGTGTCATATCAACCCTAAATCTTTTATATTTGACAATGTCTTGTTAAAAATATGCATATGATTTAAAGATGCACTATGTTCATAAAATATTCTACTCAAAGTAATTTATTTAAAAATATGGAATTGTAAATGAATATGTCCTATTTGAATATAAGAATAAATAAATGTTTTGTAAGCCGCGTTTTCTTTAAAATATTATTTTTTAGTGACACTATATATTCATATTAATATTGTGATCATCTAAAGCGCTTAGAATTTTAAACATGACCTATCTACTTTATGTTAAGTCAAAACATGTTGTTTCTCTTATTTATAAAGAGACTGTGTAGCATGTAATTGATCATATGTATATCTTTAAATAAACCGTGTTGTCTTTCGGGAGGTTAGAGGGAGGAGAGTGATTTAAAACAAACCTAATCAATGCCTGTGAATAAGCATGATTTAAACAACGAATCGGTAAAAATAATTTGGGAACATACCATCTAATATTAGCTTTTCTCATGTTAAGTAATAGGTTTGAATGTCTCTTAGGTGTAAGGTTTATATCCGTTTTTATTTTCTATGTTCTCAAATGATATTGAAGACATCTTTGTTCACAGTAACCTTGACGGCATTGGTGTAGATACCTTTAAAAAGTTCTTTATTTTATATGCAGATGATATTGTTTTATTTGCTATTAGCAAAACATATTTGTAGTCTAGTTTAGACTTACTCGTACTATATGATTACTGTAATAGATGGAAGTTATTAGTAAATACATCGAAGACTAAAAAACTCATATTTAGAAAGGGCGGGAGCCTTCGAGCAAATTTGAGTTTTAAATATGTTGAAAGTAAATTGAGATCGTTAATCGTTCTGTATATCTAGGTATTGTATTTACGACATCTGTTTTTGTTTTGTCAAAGTACTTAAGCTGGCCAAGGGTTAAAGGCAATATTTAAAATGAATAAATATTTATATAAATTTACTGATGTATAATTATGTTAAACATAGATCATAATTATTTGATAAGTTAGTCCTACCTATTTTTAATTAGTGTTCTGAGGTCTGGGGATTTTACCCCGATGCTGCAATTGAGAATTCACATACAATTTTGTGAACGTTTGTTGGGTGTAAAGAAATCCACTCAAAACGACTTTGTTTATGTAGAATTAGGTCACATGTCGTTACAAAACATAAGATCTTATAACATTATTGGATAAAACTTTTGAATACGTCAGATCACAAATATGTTAAAAAGTGCATAACGAGTTTAACAATGATGCTCTTTATAATCCTAATAGGAGAAATTTGTGTCCATTCGTTAAAACCCTGCTTTGTGAATTGGATTTCATAGACGCATGAATATTTCAGTTGATTATGTTGATTTGTTTTTATTAAATGTTAAAAACAAGAATAAAGGACCAGTTTGCGCAGAAACTGGAATGATAAAATAAACAATTCCACTAGAGCAATCTTTCATATAAAACATAATCACTTTTTGCTTTGAACCGTACTTAAATATTCTAAATTTTTCAAAATTTCGTATATCTTTGTTAAACTTACGTATGTAATCACACAGATTATGTGTTAAAACAGGTAGATGCACCAGCCAAGGGCTATTCCTCATGATGATCGCAAATGTTCTGAATGTTTTAGAGGACGAGTTTTACTTTATTTTACAATGTAATAGATATATAAACCTAAGACAACAGTTTATATCGTTTATATCTCCATATGTTTGGATACATCCAAATAATTATGATAAAATTTATTGCTCTCATGAACTCTGACAATGATACTTTTATTAAAAGTCTTGCATGTTACATTGAAAATACTTTTAATGTTAGGAACAACACTATTTTCATTAAACGTAATTAAGGTGTGGGAAACTTTGTCAACTGTACACCTTAAGTAATTATAAAATGAAATTAGCAAACATGTCTTTGATTTTAATGTATACATGAAATTGTGTATGAGAAGCATTTTGTTTTACTATATATCAGTCTTGTCGCATTTCGTTTTTTCGGACAAGGCTTCTCAGATTGTTATACTAACTGAATCATTGTTACCAGGAAATCTTAAATCGTAATTCGCCTCTAAAATGATAAATTTTCTGAAGACAGTTTCAATAAATTAGTTACCTTAGTTACCTGTGTATTTTGGACAGTTTGTATTAATATCTGTCACCAGTTTCGTTTCTATATGTTTGTATTTATGTAAATTATTTTAATTGCAAGACTCAAATGAAATTAATCTACTTGTTACTAAATAAGTTATATGCACTATTACGTAAACTAGAACAGAAGAAATATGTTCGTTAATATTAATTAAATAGATCATATATGCGAGTATGTAAACTGCCATATTTGTAATTGTACTTTACATTCGTCACAATCATGAGTAGTTGACATTCTAGTGTGAAATGAATAAAACTTGTAAACTTGTAAAACTTGTTTGATAAAGCCGTTTCTAATTTTATAGGTCATTATCACTTTCATTTAACAATAGTGTATACAAATTGTAAATTTAATTCACTTTACAAATTTGTTCGTAACTAGAACCTGATAAAAGGCGTGTTGGATTGAGGTAATACGCAAAACGTATGCTTTAAGTAAACGCTCACAATCAATTAGACGGAATAGTTCAGGTATTGACACAAAACTGTAGGCATGTCTGATTATATTCGTAATGTAGGATACGTTTGTAATTACGACGGACATAATCCCCTAGGAATTTGTTATAACCACTTCAGCCAAGAGGGGGCAGATCAGGAAGGTAATACGCCGAGGCGTCAAAACATACATGTTTGCCGGAATATTGTAGGACCAGGTGCCAAAAACGCGTTTTATACAGGAGAAATAGAGAACATTTTGCCAAATCATATTGATATCATGGTAGGACAATGAAATTATTTACATTCTGTTTTGAATTCGTCAACTGTAATGAATTTCTTTAATCTTATCATTTTTGTTCTCATAAGTTGTGATAACCGATTCATCAGGAATTTGTTACATGAAATGTATGTAATTACTTGTACAGAAACTGAAATTGTTATGTTTAAAATGAAACGGGAACTGATTTTAGTTTTACACTAAATAATAATAATAATAATAATAATAATAATAATAATAATAATAATAATAATAAAAAATAATAAAAATAATAAATAAATAAATAAAAATAGTCGTGTAAGTAAGAATTTATCAGCTTTGGTGAAATAGATGCAATACAGTGCACTCCAGAGAAACGGAGATTCGTGTATGTGTCTTACACATCGAATTTTATTTTCGTTCTGCTGATATCATCCATTTGTTTTGTTTTATAATACTTCGCGTATAGAGACCAAATGAAAATAATGTTTTTTTATTTTTAACGACACTGTTGTGCTAATTGACAGTTACTACAAACACGAAGCATCATGTTATTTATGATGTGATTAACCGCTTACGTTTACCCCTGAATGCTGGTTGCAAACATATGCATGGATGTCAAACACTGATAATACTAATAAAAACAGACAAAAAAATAGAAAATATACTCCTCTACTTATCTTATACTTACATGTATCTACTACATAAAGAATATTTATAACAGATTAAACAGACGCAATTTTTCAAAGTAACACATTTAGCTTGATTTTAATTGATATTTGGTTCCAGAATATCAAATAGATGAATTCCCATAAATGGTTTAGTAATAATATATTTTTTAAAGAGAAAATTAAAATGTTTGAAGTGCTATGTCTCATCTAGTTTTCATGATATAATCATAAGTACAATTTATTTGAATGTGAAAACTGAAAAAACCCTTAACAACGCAACAGTTAAACAATCAGAACATTCTTTGCAAACGATACAGTAGCTATTATGAACAATCGAACACTGGCAATACTATTCCAGTTTAAAGACAGTGTAACTTCTGCATTCCAGAAATCCGGAGAATTCTGAAATCCGAACATTTTTCAGAGTCCCAAAATTTCTCTTTCTGTTTTCTATGTAATTAACTTTGAATTCCGAAAGATTTTCGGATAAAATTTGTGTTGTTTTTTTTTTCAATTCAAATTTACTTCAAAAATCCGGAAATTGAAAAAGGTGTAAAGGAATATTATACTTATGTACGTATAGTAAAACATTCAAAATGTCAATATCTTCCAATTAGCAGTAACCAATTATCTTGACACCTATTAGAAGCACTCCATGCCAAGCATGTCAAACACATGATTAAAGTGTGAAATGTAAGAAGTACGAGTACAATGTAAAGAAAATAAAGATATTACAGGTAAATAGCATGAACTACATGAAATAAACTATAGTTTTATTAAGATAAATAATTCACATTATGCTTTTGTATCAACATACTCAGTTTTAGGTGATAATGAAATTTAAAATAGTTATAAACTTTTAAAAAAGTCCTTTAATTCTGCCATTTTATGAATTTAATCAGTTTCATATATTTTTCAGCACGTCTTACTTAAACAATTGATGTTTATTTTTTCTACTTGTTCAGATAATTCTGAACTTCAGAATTCCGGAAACTTCCAAATTCCTAACTTTTTGGCTAGTCCTACAGGTGTTCGGTTTTCAGAGGTAACACTGTAGACACATTTACTGAATGTTATTTAAAGATTACGCAAAATTTATTTAATAGACAAACAATTTTAAGTGTTTATTTCTTAATATACTCATAAAATCATAAACATTAAAACAAGTAAAAAGTATCATTGAAGGAGGAAAGCGTTGAACATAACGAGATACGAAAATTTATCACAAAAATGAATCCAGTTGCAAGAAATTTAAATGTGATTCTATTCAGATTGTTATGACCCGAACTATATGATATATTTATCAGTGTATAGAAAAGCACTGTAGCGTTTGGCGAAATTATGCGCTTTATGAGCTAAGAATAAGAATTTAAAACAAAGCATGCTACATAGTAAGATAATTTGCTTTTCAAAGTATTTTGACTAACTTCTATCTTTTCATGACGTAGATTTCCGTCATACCTGATCCTGTAACAGCTCAAAAAGATAAGACAAGTAAAGCGGATAAGGTATTACAGTTATCCAAAGAAGATAAGGCATACAAGTTGGAAGTTGATAACAGAGAGAAACAATCAAAAACGAGGAAAGAGTTACATAATAAAGGTATTTTTTTCTCAATGGGTAAACTTGTTTCTATAATCATTAAAATACTTCTAAAACTAACGAAAAACCCACTTCTATGTCTTGACAAGTAATTACATTTATTTCGTATGTTTAAAGATCCTGTAACACAATTTTGTTCATGGTTTTATTTCATAAATATGATGCTCAAATTAAGATTTGTCAATATTGTAAGTTCAAATAAGCATTATTTATAAAGATATTACCAAACTTAACATTTCATGTAAATAAAGGGACGTTATTAGAAATTTATTTTCTGTATAATTCTAAGTCAAATTTTCCAATAAGAAATGAATGCATGTAATTCATTGATTAAATACAATGTGCATAAATATTTGCAGTACATATTTTACATATTCTTTGATGTTTGATTAATTATAAACATATATAACTTTTTGCAAGTGTGGTATACACACAGTAACAATATCAATCACAAAACATACAGGATCTTTAAAGTTAAATATTGTGTATTTGTTATATTTTCCTTATTGCATTGACAAGTTCTTCCAGAAAGGTATTCGATAAAATATTAAGTATGTTTTAAGTAAAAGATGTTGTCCTTTTGGATACATTAATTTTTGCATAAACCATGTATTAATAATATGTGAACATATTTTGCAGTAGAAAAGAAAAGGATGTCTTTCATCAACGAAAAAATAAAAGAGCTTGGAGACCTTCTCCCAGAAAATGCAAAACGGTAGCTATTAGAATAAAGAAAAACACATTCAATGCAAAAATATTAATAAATACTTATTTTTTGTCAGTTCTGCCCACTCAATTTGTTCAATGCTGCAAAATTAAGAGACACAAGGTAAACAAGAACTGCATTTGTTTCCTGTGTGTAGGAATGGAACGGTACAAACTCATTAATTTTGTCTAAACAATCGTTCTATTTCTAACGATAAAAAGTCTGGAAATGATATGACTTACTATTACTATTAACTGCATGTTAATTTGTGTGAGTATTCAAAACTAATTGTTCATTTATGGGCGGGAAATTTAATGAGACATGTCCGTTAAATGTTAAAATCTTAATTATACTTATGATAATAAATCACCCTAGATGCTTGATAAAAAAGTTTGATTTGAAATGACTAGGACATGATACATGCTAAATATGCAAGCTCAATGTATTAAAGTTTTTCACAGAGAAATAAGACGTTTTATTTACATACGTACGACAACGTGCAAAGCAAAAATATCGAATTTAGGCACATCAAATGAAAGGTTATGTATATGCATGTAGAGTGTTTTCAGTCTTTAAATTATATTTACTACATTCAACGCCGATATATAAATTTCACCAAATCATTGTAATTCAAAGATATTGGATCGTTTCAGACGATCCTGTCAGACGAAAGGTCTAATTCTGCAGAAGTCTGTGGAATATCTAAAAATACTCCGGAAAGACAAGGATATAATTCAGCCTCTTCTTCTAAAAATTCAGAAACTCGATGCTGAAATGGTGACATTATCAGAAAAGATACAAGTAATATTTCAAAACTTATTTTATTGTGAGGAATTGTGAACTGTTAAATAATGAGTTATGTATGTCAAATGTCAAAATATACTTAATAAATATTAAATTATCATTTACAAAAAAAGTACCTCATTAATATTCTAGGTATGTTTGTTAATAATTTGAATTAAAATAAAATCTAATATAAATCTAATAAAATGAAATAAATCACTTGTTATAGCAATCCTATATATCGCATCTGTCAAACAAATCTAACAATCAGGACTCCCATTTATGATGTGTTATCATTCTATTACATGAGTGCAATTATATTAACATAAAACATTATATGAATATAGCTATTCAATTTACTTTACAAAAATCGATGCCATTAATGAAATTATTTATTGATTCCATACTAAACATCTATATGCCTCTTTCAACAAGTTCAAATCTATGTTACTCGTTGACACGCGTAGACACCATCAATTGACAGATGTAAGAACGCTTAAATAACTTATTAAACACAGAATTATAAAATAGGTTCTGGATGCAAAATTGAAAGCTTCCATCACAAACGGTAAACAGAGAGAAAGTATTTCGCCGTTGCTTTACGAGAAAAAAGATTTGAATTGATTGCAATATGATACACATTTTACCTGGCTTTTCCTGAGAACATATTGAACTTATTAATTTTAAGATGTGGATCTTAACTATGTATTACTTTAAAAACATTTTTATTTACTCTGCTATTTATAAGACTTTAGTATACTTTTCTGTGATTATGCATGCTAGCTAAAGGTAAGTGATTCGATGATGGATAAAACATCAATGTTGATAACTGCTTAATCGGTGTAGTATATTTGTACATTACACGAAAGTGCATTTTACTTTCGGAAGCTTATGCAAATATTTGTTTTATTTGTAGCAATTGGATAATCAGATGCAGATACAAGAAACTGGATTTCTTGATTATGCAAAAGTATCTCACGCCGCAAGCCCTTATCACCTCTACGACCAACCTTGAACGACAATGTCGACAACAATGACACGGTGTGGCTTTTTGAATTAAATAAAAAATATATTCGGAAGAATTGGTGTTATAGAACAATGTGCTCTGATGATATGTGCTTTTTATGTTATTTTCAGCTGGGAACTGTGATAGCAATACTTATAAACTATTTCCTTGTAAACTCATTTAAACTGGAAACATCTGTGATACATAATTGATTAAAAAATCATTACAATGTTATGCAAAACCCAATACATTTTCATTCTCTATAGTTTTTAAATATCTCATATGGTTGTTTAATATACGCATTAGTCTAGTAATAAGCGCTAATGAAATTGAACCCTGCAATGTCTTTGTAAATAAACTTTTTCCATTTGTATACATCTTTGTTTTTTTTAAATTATGTGAATCTTAATATAGTTAATGATAACATTCACTCATTTTTAAAAGGGCATATAAAATGAATTCTCCTTGAATATAAGGAATCATCCTTATTTTGCAAAACCTCCCAAACTTTAATTTTAAATCAAATAGTCTAGAATGAAAATTTATTTGAACTGACAGAAGTTGTAGAGAAACAGACTATTAACGACATCTTAATTTCTTAATCTTTGACAAATTGTATCATGATGCTTACAAATTAAGGCCAATTTTGAGGGCAAATTAATATGGTGTCTTTTAGCATAATAAATTAAATACCTGTAAACGGTATTCAAAAACGATTTAAACTAAGTTGAAATTCTTAAATGGTTTATTGTTCTACAAAACTACTAACGTGGCCATGCGGACATCACTAGCCCACAGTGTTAACATTTCTTAAGTACACTCAAGAAATCAAAACATTGATACAAACTATTTATCTACAAGATATCGCAAAACGATTTAATTTGCAAGCTGATTTACACTTTTGATTTTGAAAATTGCAGACAAAGATTGATTGAGTTTGCTCTTCAGAGAACATGACCTTCAGCTTTTACTGCGGTCCAAAAGCCTAAAAGGATAATATTGGAGATTCTTACATCGTTTTACTCAGGCACTTACAATGTAAAAGCATGCAAAATATAGTTTTAATGACAAACAGTCTTTACATCGACTTTTTATTTAAATCTTTTCCGGATTTGAGTTGTAAGCTTTAAAAGCTTTTTCTTCAGTTAAAGTCATTTTGCACAATTGAAATGCTCATTCTGGGAAACCGTAGTTTAAGAATCCCCTGAAATTTTGGAAAGAATCTATTTGTCTAAACCTTCGTCAGTCTGTTTTGAGCTTGATTGAAAGGTATGCCATACATCTTTAAAAATAACTTCTTATACAACTTTTATCGGTTTTGACATTACATATTTGTGATTACTTTTAATAGCTTTAATCTGGATATATGAGTGGTCATTCTTGGTAAATCTTCAAGTTTGATCATTTTTTCGCAACCAATATCTTTCGCCATTTACGACACTGGATTAAAGAACACAAATGAATCCGCGTGCTTAAAATAAAAACCTAAATAACTATGAAATTTATTCCCCAACCCTTGGAGTTCTTGTAATGTAATGTTAACAGTATATGAACAACGATATAAATGTCAGTATTAAGGTAATAGTTATCATGAACATTTCTATATTAATACATTAATACATTATTAAATTGGTTGGATGCAAAATTGAAAAGAAGTTTATCACTTTAGTATAAATATCTTAAGACAGAAAAAATAATTAAAGCACGTCTCGTTTAAAATATATTTGTAAAACAGACATTATTTTATTTAAATTAAGAAGTAATATATTACGAGAATAGTCATCTCATTGTTATACGCCTATAACACTAGGGCGATTATTGTATAAATTAGCTATAAACATATGCAGACTTATTAGAAGTAGGCAAATTATAATTAATATGCAATATCTTAAATCAAGCAGATAGAATTACATGGAGATTTGTAATATAACCAGATGCAAAATATATTATACGTTTTTTACCCGGCTCGCTCCGTCCCATTTTGGTAATCGGTAAAGACATAAAAAATTTGGTACATCATAGCAATATCAAAATACATAAACTATCTTTGTCATGAACTGATATATTCGTTTGACAAAATTGCACCCCATTCTATTGACTTCCAAACATCCACATAATGTACCAAAGTGGCCATTCCTTTATTGTTTATGTATAAATTGTCTTCATACTTGGAATAACAATCCTTGGAATTTTCATTTAAGTTGACTAGAATAACCTTGATCTTGAGTCATACATAATTTTGACCTTCGAGGTCAAATTACTGTACTTTGGTAATTGTTTGTCGTAACTGTCTAATTTTTTTTATTTATGAATGGGTCGTCAAAATATTTCAACACGAGATTCAAAAGGACAAGACCTTTATGAGAAACAAACTGACTTTGACTTAAAAAGTACATTTACCTTGAAGGTTTACCCATTGAATGTTCACTGTTTGTTTGCTATGATTAGCAGTAAAACTTTGTATTTAGTACATGTATATTATATTTATCAATACATTTACAGCCATGATAAATCAATAGAAAATAACAACAATGCAATTGCGTGTGCGAGCGCGCGTGTGCGTGCGCTCTGACAGATTAAGTTTGACATAGTTGTGCAACTTTTTGAACGCACAATCCTTGAGGATAGCCCTTTTAGTTCATGAGACTTTCATTGATCTCGAGTCATAAATGTCCTTGACTTTCGATGTCCAGCTATTGATTTTAGAAAATAAAATGATTGAACTAGATACAACTTCATTATACTTTTATGTCATCTCATCTAAGGAAACAGTAGATAAATTAACTTGGTTTTGAGATATGAATGATATATCATAATCCAAGTGGGTGTTACGTTTGATGACTCTGATAGATAATTTGAAATATTTTATTCCTTTTTATTCAGACTGGCTTTAGGAGACTTAATTGTTTTATTTAGTAATCTGTTTTTCCTTTTACCAAAATAATGCTTAGAAGATGATAATTCATTTATACACTAAGTCTTTAGAAAAACCGTTAATTGTAATTATTATTGGTCCACAGATGAAACATCATAAAATATAGGTGCAGTTCAAATTTGCTTCAAATAGATGAATTAGTGGGTGGGTCTAGTTTACATATCACTTAAATGTTAGTACCGCTGTTTTCTCCGATGAGAGCCCAGCCAAAAATGTGAGATAGGACATACATTTGAACCCAATATGTTTATAGCGTTTCATTACCCCCAACAAGCGAAGTTTTGTGGGTGTAGAAGAGTCAGCTTGTCTCTTGTTCAGTCGATCGGTACGTCCCTCGGTCCGTCCACATCATTGTTTCCGGACGATAACTAAAGTTTGGAATGAGGTATTGTAATCAACCTTGGTATAGAGCAACCTTATTTGGAAACCCCGGTTGGTATTGCCTTTGGACACCCCTACGGTTAAGGTCAAGGTTATCGTTACTAAATTAGAAAAATGGTTTTCGGACAACAACAGTGGAAGGAATAAGAAATTGCAATAAACTTGCTGCAGGAAGGTAACCTTTAAAAGTTATTATTTAAAGTCAAACATAATATCATTATCTGCATATTTATATAAGTTTTGAAAAACACAGAACTATTAACAATTGTTAAAGTCTTCTCCGATATTTTACTTGAATAAAAATTTATTTAGCAATAGACATGGACGTGTGCTCTTTTGTTAACACACATGTTGTAGTATTGTTTACACTATTCTGATAATTAGATAATATACAGTTTAGTGATCTATTTATACTAAACTGGAATCTCACATGTAAATATGACATACCTGTATAACTCATCATTCAGAACTATGTTGTATTTGTAAATATTATTATACATGTAGTGACATTACTTGTGCCTAAATGTCGGACAGTACGATGTGGTGACAGGTGCTTCCAGACCACCGCAGCGAAATTATGGAATGCGTTACAACCTGTCATTAGAAACTGTAATACCTTGTCATGATTTAAGGGAGCTCTCAAAACACAGTTCATAAAATTCTATGGACGTTAGTGTCATAAACCAACATATATGTACTACTTTGGCTACATTACCAGTGTAAATTGTGTCTTTGATTTTTTGTCTTAGGGTTTTACTTTATAATTGATTCCTTTTGTACTTTTGTTTGTTCCTTTTTTAACAATTTGATTTCTTTCAAATCTTTGATAGAATTTTTTTTTGGTTAAATTGAGCCTTGATTTGAAACTAAATGTGTCTGTTTTTCTTACCATTCTTTACTGGTTTTAGATCATCATTATTGTTTAATGTGTTTACGTAATTAATTAATATTATACAATTATTGACTAGTGAGCCATTGAATATGATGTGATATTCACCGGCAGATGACATATTGACCGATGCGATAGCCGAGGTCAATTTGACTTTCTGCCGGTGAATATCACATCATATTCAATGGCTCACTAGTCAGTAATTGTTTTATTATATGAATATGCTAAGAAATAAAAAAATCACAAAAAGTACAACTTTATATACATGTACAAATTTTGCCTCGTTGAAGCGCAGGAAAAAAGACGCACGTGATAGGCGTGCAACGACTGCTCGAACGCTGCGCATACAAAAACAATTTAAGTTGATACTCATCATTGCGGTGTAGCCTTTAAGTAAAGTAATGATATTATAATCGAGAAATATGCCATAAAGAACAAAAAGCAACAATTAATTTTTTAATTTACACGCGTAATTAAAAGTCATTGATAATTGAATAATAGTCTCAATCTATTTTTAGACTGGGAAAATCCAATTCAGCCAGTGAATATGATACTACACCCAGTAAATATGATTTTATAAAAAGTTCTCTTGACTACTGTTTGGACCAATGAGATTCCAGCTATAATCAGATCATATAATAATGTACTTTATGCCATATATATGATTATGTTTTATCAGATGTATGTAAAGCACTCTTGAACATTTATTATTTATGAAAAGAGTGCTATAGAAATGTGGTATATAATAATAATTATGAAGATGATGATGATGATGATGATAATAATAGTAATAATAATAATAATAATAGTAATAATAATAATAACAAGATATGTTTGTAAAACATGTATGCCCCCTATTGGCAGCAAATTTGTCATGTGATCTGGTTATTATGCATGACTTCTGACCCAGTGAACAAGCAATTAATAAGGGTTATCTAGTATCTACTGGTCATGACAAGTCACACGGTAATAATTATTGTGACCTCATAGGTTGTGTGCAGCAATTAAAGTTATTAAAAATCTTACCAAATAATATATACATACATTTTATGAATCACATAGGCCTCATTATTGACAGCCAAGTTGTTATATTACATAAGACCTTCAAATGTGTATACCAAAAGCACATAAAAATACCAACTAAGGCAACTTG